TATATATATATATATTAAACATTACATATACATTGTTCACCTTGAAAAAACTCCGTTATTGGTAATGATAATATTAAAAAAAAAAAAAACGTTTGCTACAGAACTTGCATGGCATGGAAAAAGAACGGGGGCGAAGGGGGGGGTCATATCATGATGCTAATTTTTTTTTTTCATGGGTGGAGTCGTAAATAAGGATTCAATGTGATTTTCTTTATTTCAAAAACAAACTTTTCTCCTATGATGTATAAAAGTAAAACTGTTTTTTATAATGTCTGTTAAATCTGGTGCCGTAAGTTTGCCAGATTATGAGCTTACGAAAACAACGTTGTTATAATTCGCTTGTTATAATACTAGCAATGGATTCTTGTTCTTCTAGATTCATAAATTTCCGTTGATTCTTGTGTAGATATAGAAAAATAAATAATAATTATGAGTAATCATATTCGTATCATGCCTTTCACGAAGATGGTTATTGAATTCTTCTCTGCCAGTGTTTGTATCATATTTTTATTGATACCCAACCCTTTAACCCCCCACCCCACCCCTCATTCGTTGAAACCTATTAATAATTCGTATAAAATTCTAAAAACTGTTTTATCGATTACTTCCATTGCTATGTCCTATAAAGTCAAGTCAAAAGTTTCGATTTTATGCTGTAGATATTTAAAATCAATGCAGCAAACCACATACAACAATCGCTATCAGAAAGTGAATACAAAATCATGTCATTCCAATTTAAAAGAACCAAGGTGATCTTCACATATCTCCAAAGCAACTTCACCTAGGCTATAAAAAAGAAAAAAAAAATAAATAAACGTCATACTTACGGGGGGGGCCCTCTTGTCGTCCCATGCAACTTCTGTCAGAAAAAACTTTTCTGCTACAAACATAATTCCTGAATTATTCTAACAATGAGACATTACAATTAACTCTTAACCGATTTTGATATCTTCTTTGTGATAAATTTTGTCCTTCATGCATAAAAAGATACAGTTAATACGTATATCGTGGTGTATAACTGTGTGTAACTTTATTAAAGTTATTAAGAAGAACATTCACAATTTTATCTCTTTTCTTGGTTAATGTTCTGCGTATATATCAATACGATACACAAAAATTTGTGTTAATAAAAAAGTCAAGATGGAAATTTGAAATTATTTTCTTACCTCTTAAACTTCACCTTTTGTTTTCTTGAAAACGATTTGAATAATTACTCTTAAATTAATTTATAATCCTAACGGGAACCCTTACAACTGTGTTATAAAGTTTTAAAAATATCTGAGGCAAGAACGTTGTGCGCAACCCTTGTTAATTCTTCTAATTCCTTTATTCACTTATACCCCTCCCCCCTGCCTGTTCATTTGTACATAATAAATAATTATTGCATAAATATATGTAAAGTGGATTAAACAAAATAATTAACAGTAAAAGTTTCCATCCTAGATTCCCATTGATATAATTCTTACGCTCATTCACTCTAAATTTCAAATATAAATAATATCCCTTACCAAGACTTATTTTTAATCAAAAAAACTTTGGCAGAACTTATTTATATTTTTTTTATAAATTCGCCACATAGAAGAAGAACAAAATCGGTAAAAAATGAACTGTAAATGTCTCCTTGTAAACGGTAATAGTTATTGATTCACCCTGTATAATATATGTATATTACTTAAAAAAGGGCAGTAGCGTGCGCGCCTGTCCCAATTTCCAGAATTACACCCTGTATATAAGAATAAATATACACACACACACATATTTAAATAGAATAGAGATAGAATTTAAGATTTTCTTACTTTCGATTAAATTATTTTCTTTTTATCTATATAATAATAATTTAATCGATTAATTATTTACATAATAGTGGGCAGCCAGTTATGAAATAGTATACAAGAAAACGCTTAAAAGTGCAGTCTGATTATACAATCCAATTTCGATTGTCCAAAGTATTTTTCCAATGAAGTACACATTCTTCTTTTATTTTATTTTGTTTTATTTTATTTTTTGTTTTGTTTTTATTTTCATTTCTTTTTCCCCTATCCAATTGCATGGTAACAAAATATAATGGTACCAAATAAAACATGCTCTATAAAGTGCACGATTAGGCATATTTAATAATAATCGCTGATTATTCGATTCGTACTTCTACGTTTTATTCGTCGTATTTTTCACGATACCAATTCTGTTTCTACGATTAAGCGTAAAACGTAAATCGCGTGTTTCTAAACAACTGTTTATGAAAGTTTCCTCGTTCATTTGTATGGATTTTTCTACTTAGTATGTTCATTTTAAAAAGTCAACAAAAAGAAAAAAAGGATATAATATGTCACGTTTGCAATTTTGTTGCAACGCAACGAGACACGTTTTATCGATGACTTTGCAAAAAAGAATAAACAAAATTTAAAAATAAATCATTTCTAGCCAGTTAAAAAAAAGAAAAATAAATATACGTGTCTCGATATGCAATTAAATAATCGAAATAAGCTCGTTTTACATCCTCCAAATGCTTCCAACAAAAATCTTAATTTTTTTTCTTATATATATATATATATATATATATACGTATACGAACAAAAATGATTTATTTAATTATGAAAAATCTGTATTTGTCTCTTGGTTTTTCTTTTTTCTTTTTTTTTTTTTTCTATCGTCACTACTCTCTGTTCGATAATACTCGCTCAGGAAGCTCGTTATTATTTTAATTATTTTAATCAGGTTTTTTTTTTATATCGCGAATTTAGTATCAGCCTCTTTTATCCTTGGAAGAAAAAAGTAAAAGCGTTTCCCACGCTATATCTCTATGTATGTATATATAATAATAATAATAATAATAATAAAAAAAAAAAAATGTGTATAAACGTATATATGTATACGTGCAAGCATCGTTGCTCTCCTAGTGGGGCGGGGGGGAGGGGACATGTCAGCAAAATATGTATTCGAAAAATTACAAAATTCGATAAAAACAGATATAACGATAGAGAAAGAAAAAAGGAAAAAAAAGAAATAGGAAAAATCGTTTACGAAAAAAAATTGTAATTCGTGAAACGTTAGACAATTTTTTTTTGTTATAAAAACTCAAGACCTACAGCAAAGAAAATGTATGTGTGTGTCCGTATACTCGTACGTGCGTGCGTGTATATTCCTAATCAAAAAATCCTGCCATACCGTGTCTTCCAAGACAGAAAACTATAAAAACACTATTGTAAACTAGATAAAAATTATTTATATATATATACATACCTCTCCGAGACCCATAAGTTATTGTATACCATATATGAATAAGCAACGAGAGAGAGTGAGAGAGAGAGAGAGAAATAGAGTGAGTGTAACTGCGTGCATAAGTGTTTAAGAATGTGCAAGAGTGAAACTGAAGAAAAAAAAAGAGAGAGAGAAACAAATATATTTAATATAATATAATATAATATAATTAATTTTTCGTATACTTTTATCCGATTGCGGATAAGAGAAATAATAAGCGTGTGTGCAACTTTATCAAACATTCTTTTAAAAATTACATGCATATGTATTTACGTACGTTTATAATTGTTAAAATTATTCATTGAATTCATAATCGATTAGAAAAGCTTTCGAACGAATGTTACGTTTCATAATGCAGATTTCTTTTCTTTTCCTTCCTTCTTTTTTTTTAATTTCACTTACGTAACAAAATCGTGCGTATATTCGTAATTTATGAAACAAATAAAAAAAGAAAGAAAGAAATCATTCAAATTAATACGATTTTCTTCGTAGAAAGAGAAGACTTGAAAAATAATTATTGTTCTTGATCGATCTCTCGATATATATATATATATATACATATAAAAGAAAAGAACAAACAAACAAACAAAACAAAAAATAAATATATATATATATACATACACTAATACACATACACGCGAAATAAATAAATGCGACCACACGAATGTACATACCTAACATTGCACTAATATATAGTATTGCCGCTGAGTATTACAACTAGTCACATAAGCCAAAAGTTTGTTACTCTCATAAAAGTTTTCTTTTTTTCCAGTTTTATAAATAAAGAAGGTTTACAAACCCAACAAAATATCTTATTTCTTAGGATCCAATTATTATTATTATTATTATTATTATTATTATTATTATTATTATTATTATTTTCGTAATTGGTGTATGATCTCTCGTCCATTGAAAGTTTCAATGCGAATGCAAATTGCTAATAATGGATCGCGCGTCGTTCGCGTTTATTCAAAAATATTCAAAAGAAACATATAAAAATAGTCTGACTATTCATTTCCGCATTTATGTATATATATAATACGTGCACAAATACGTTCAAAGTCGAGATTATCGTTCAACCAAGCATGACACGTTTATGAAGCTGGCAAGTGCCATAAGTCGTGCGATAATCGAACGAGAATCGTGCATGTGGTGTGGCATTGTGCTTTTGCAAAATTCTTTCAAAATGGATTGATTTTGTTTTGTTCTATTTTTTTTTTTCATCTTTTTTCGAAAACATTTATTTTATTACGATAATTATTTCTCGTTCCATATACAAAAAAAAAAAGAAAGAAATATTATATTTAACCAGTCCTTCATCTGTGAATAATATTTCTCAACAAAACGTTCTCGTGGAAATATATACCTCGCATCCTTCATTTTCCTTTTTCCTTTCTCTTTCAATACAACCGCGCGTAATGCCGACGTCAGTTGCAAAGCGCACACGTTGATCCTTCCGATAGAGAAGGAGTTCCGATGAGAACTCTGTATGAAGATTCTTATTGGTATATTAGTAAGTAATTAAAAATGATTTATTAAATTTTAATTAAAAGGATTTAAATTTGCGAGAGAAAAAAAAAAGAAGACATTTAGACCAACAATTTCGGTCATAGAAATTTGTTCTTTATCGTAAATTTTACATTCGTATTTTGAGTATATCGAAACATAAAATAATTGCAAATAAGATTGAAATTTGAAATTATCGTTGAAAAAAAAAAAAGAAAAAAAAAAGTAAAATCTAGCTTAACGAAAAGATAATTATTTTTAGATGCTCTGTTACGTAAAATTCATTAATCGGAGGAGAGGATCAGTAGATATCAAATTATAAATACACTGATTCTTGCAACGCGACACGATATCTCCTTTGTTCTTACGGATGATAAATGAATAATATTAAAATCATTTTTGATATCTTTTCAAAGAAACGATTGCAAATAATGTAATTAAGTTTTGTCATCACGTAGATCGTGGTATGTAACTGGTCTACCATTTTCAAATAGAAACTCAAGACGTTTTATTCTGGTTATCGTAACCGCGCTAATAAGTAGGTCTCACGCCGTTAGTCTTCTTGAGGAATCACGCGAACAAAGTTATCCTTGTCGACTGACTGGCAACTACTTAATTTGATGGGTAACAAAAAAAAAACATCGAGATAAATAAAGAAAGAAAAAAAAGAAATAATCAAGGGGAGGATCTCTACTGATATTTTACTCGAACGAACTTGGAACTCGAGAAGAACGGAATTTAGTCTTTTCCTTCCTCTTGTTGGAATAATAAGTGTCGTTTTTAAATCTTACGATACAAGTTTCTCTAACGAAATCGAGTATTCAAAAAAAGATACATTGCTTTGGAACACTTTCCTTGCGGTTGAACGTTACGCGATTTATACTTAAAACATTAAGAACGAATCGAATGGAACAAGTTTCAATAAATAGGAGATCAAGGAAACATATGAAAGGGAAAACAATGATCGGATCCATTCTTTTATACCTTTTCATGATTTTTGGTGTAACTACATGTAAAACGTGTAACTCGAACAACGGAGATGGTAATTAATTTAAATCATTATTAAATTATATACAAAGAGATATTTTCATTCTTGAAGATAAAAAAAAAAAGATAGTCGATTAAACTTAGGTTCAATAAGATTTTCAGCATTCTCACGTGAGCTTAATTATCTCACCGATGATGTCAAAATCAATGATCCGTGAACTGGAAATTTATTGGAATCATCCGAAGTATCGATTGGATAGCGACAGGATCGCACTTTATTCGGATGATCCGACGAATGGATTAGAACCGATTTTTATTTTGGAACCTAAATCGTCGAGTGGTATAAAGAATACAGGAATTCAGGCTGAATATCTACCTACTAAAAATTTGACCTATCAAAGACAATGTCTCAGTACGTCTTAACAAAAAGATGTCTTTTTTTTATCAATTTGACGAGTTTAAAGAGTTAACTGTGTTTTATATTTAGAGTATTACGTTGCTTGGCTGAGGAACGGTGTCTTGAAGAAAGTGAATTGTCTTAAAACGTATCCTAATTGGATGGCTGAGAGAAAAGATATTTTAGGTCCTCTTAGAATGAATAAAATCTTTTTACCAGGTACTCACGATTCGGCATCTTACGCGATCCACAAACTAGCTGCTGAAGAAGACATTATTGATAAATATGTTATAACGCAGGTGAAGAAAAATTCACATATTCAATTATTATTAATCTCAAATTAGGTACTATCGATTTGGGCAACGTTAGAGTTTTTTCATAGCTTTCAGGACATAGATGTACTCGCGCAATTGATATACGGGGTACGATACTTGGACATCAGAGTAGGATATTATCCACGCACGAATGAAATCTGGTGGGGTAATCATGGAATAATACGGCTAATACCATTAATAGTTATCATCGAACAAGTAAAAGTATTTCTCAATAATACAGAGGAAATCGTGATATTCGACGTTCAGGAATTTCCCGTTGGTAATTATCATTGATATTGAAATTATTTAATGTAAAGCGTAGAATGAAACAATTTGACTGAACACTTTGTTTGATTTTGAATAGGATTTCAACAAAATGTATCCGTACATTGGCAGTTCGTTAAATATTTGGAGAAACAATTTGCAGATTACTATTTACCTTATAGAACTGGTTGGCTTACAACATTAAATACAATTTGGTCCTCGAAAAGGAGATTGATTATTGGATATGATGAAAAACAAGTTCTCAGTTTGTACGAGAGTCTCTGGCCTTGCGTTACACATCAATGGGGTAACGTTCAAACTATCGATGATTTATATCGATATCTTAATCGTATTGAAACATCAAATGCTCGGTAAAAATCCTTTATCCTAATAATCTTTCTCCCTTGACTTGACTATTTTACAGTATAATTTGATATCTTCCTTTCAGGGACTACAAAATAACGCCAAGATCCGCGATGGCGGAATTAACTCCTAATGTATGGGACGTGATTTGGAACAGATTGGGAGGTCTTCGCCAAATGGCTAATAGAGTCAATGCCAATGTCACCAATTGGTATGCCACCAAATGGCAGCACACAGCTAACATCGTCGCTGTTGACTTCGTAAGAAGTTCTGGTATCGTAGAGACTTCTATCGAATGGAACGATAGACGAAACTCGAACTGTTAATGAACAATAAATTCTACACAATTTTACATTTGATATTTTCTCACAAACTGTGAATTAATTAGTTGTATAGACAATCCCTGTTCTTTTTGTTGTTGTTGTGTTGTCATCTTTTATTATCAACGATTTTAGTTTTACTAGCTCATTCCTGTTTCCCTCGTTTAATCTCGCGCATTAAAAAAAAAAAAAAAGATGAATCGTATATAATACGTGTATAACTTTTTACGTGACAAAGAAATTTCCGGCGGAAGAAGAAATAACAATACCGTCAAGGAGACCAATAGAAATACTAAGTCGTGCTCGTACATTGAGAGATATCAGTTCATCGTTTGTCACGGGTAATAACGGTTGTCGGTAGGATTAAAAAATAAACTTATTTACCAGAGATCAGTTCCTTAGTTGAAATAATAAATAAAAAGTTAAAATGTTAGCTAATGGTATATCTATGCATGTAATGACATGTATATCGATTGTAACTGTGTTTCTCTTAAATCAAATAACTATAAGTACTGGCAATACTTTTTTTTGTCAAAATAATCAACAGTGTACGTTTCTTGAATACTGTCCAGATATAGCGATTAGTATGAAAAGGAATGAATTTCCAATGCACAGGTATATTTGATGCATCTCTATTAGCAAACAAAAAAAAAAGAAAAAGTGTACAAATCTTATAAACCTGATTACAGATTTCGTCAATCGATATGCGATTATTCAGGATTAAGACCAAAAGTGTGTTGCAATGTAATAAGTTATCCTGTTAATCCAATATTATATGAAGAAAACATAAGATCGCTATTAGAATCAAGATCGTATTATAAATGTGGTAAAAGCCTTATTAAAAATAACATTGATAATTTTGGATCTTACCCTTTTCTAGCTAGAATTGGTTTCATAAGTAAGTACACTTTTAATCATTTGAAATACCATGAATTGAAAATTTCAACTTCAATTCTATTTCTTTTGATTGTAGATTTGCAAACAGGACACATCAAATATCCTTGTAGTGGTACAATTATAAGTGAAAGAGCAGTAGTAACAACAGCTTCTTGTGCTCTTGCTAATTCTCAAATTTACAAATTGTATACAATTGAATATATCCTTAGATATTTAATATTATTTCAAGAAGAGTTAATTGCATGAATTAAACTTTTAATCCTTATTCTTGAATAGGTATGTTGTAACTATTGGAGAATTTAACACCGAAACAGATCCTGACTGTAATTCCTTATTTTGTGGTCATAAAGTTAAACATTATAATATATCCTACATAATAAAACATCCGAATTATTGTGCTGACAATTTTGAAAATAATATAGCATTAATTCGTTTAGAAAGACCTATTCATTTTGAAGGTAAATAGATATTTAAATTAATAAATTTATTTCTTATAATTAAATATATAAATTTTGTACACAGTAACAGCACAACCTGTTTGTCTATTACCCAAAGAAATTTATATTAGAACAGGTTCAAATACTGTATTGATTGGCTGGGGTAGATTATCGAATCAAAAAGGTATTTAAAGGAAGCAAAAGAAAGTAATCATTGTTTAAATATTTAACATTGTTTTCAGATATGTTAACCATGCAACAAGTATTAAACATGGTATTGTTACCTAAACAAAACTGCTTGGACTTTTTAAATGAAGGATATTCGGTAGAATTGTGTGCTAGTGGAGAAACAGAACCTTGTTCAGCTTACAATGGAAGTCCCCTATTGTACAAATATAGTGATACTTATTTTTTGGTACATCAATTATTTTTTACTCATAAACATATACGTTTAATATATACAGGCAAGGTTTTAGCTTATCTGTTTTATATCTCCAGGTAGGAATTCTATCCTATGGCTCCAACTGTGATGACAAATCAAATTTACCGGTGGTTTTTGTGGATGTAAAAAAATATACGAGATGGCTTTTAGAAAATCTTTAAATACTTTATATATATAAATAATGACAATTTATAGATTTTTACCTTAAAACCTAATTAACACAGATACATATATTACATTCATTTGTTTCCCACCAAATCTCAATGATTACTTCTACTATAGCTTATGTTTAAATATATTTAAATATTTGCCACGTGTCATTTCTTTAGCCTCTTCCATACCAAGTTGATAAGCTAAATCGTGTAATTTTTTGACTTCTGATATAAGTCCTGTCATAGATAAATTTCCCAATTCTTTAAAAAAAAGAATCATCTTAATACGTGCTGGTATGTATAATTGAAATTTTATATCTGTTCAGTATCTACTTACGGTGTAACTGATTCAGGTCTTCCGCAGTTAATCCAGATGCCCAGGTAGCTGGCTCTAACTGAGGAGAATTTTTAACTACAAACTCGTTTACACCTGGAACTTCATCGGTCGCTAATATATATGGTATTTTATGCTTTTATAATGAATAAACAATACCTGATAGGTAAAATGAATAATTACGTAAAATTAACTTACTTTGCTCTGGCCATAAGTCTGGCGATGCTCTGTCTAGTTTTTCCAAACTCATAAGACTTTCTTCGACGCAAGTCAAGTCTGTTAGTAGAAAGGTCAGAAATAAATATTAGAGGGTTAATACATTTACTTTGGTATTTTAATATATGCAACATCAATTACACGGATAATAAATAATTATTTACAGATAATTAATAATCTTATGCATAGATATATATAGCTTAACATTAATAATAAAATATTAACTGAAAACTAAAAATATATTGATTTAAAAAAGTATACCAGTTTGATCCACAGGTTCATCCGTTGCCATGTTGTTAAAGATTAATAACAAATAACATTGGAAATAAAAAAAAATTGAAATGGATAATAGAAATTGTTGTTGATAAAAGAACACGTTTTTAATTGACCTTTTATTTCTATTAAAAGCATCGATAATACTAAGAATTGTCTTCGCTACTAACACTTTTTTGTAATTTTCTCGTCAAATCAATTTGTTGTTGAAGAATATAGATGTTCTCTATTTTTCGGCGCTGCTGTCGTTCGATATCTCGCAATACACCTTCGTGAAGTCGTTTTCTAAGAAAGTAAAATAAATTCATGTAACCTCCAATAGACAAAACATATTAATAGTTAATATTACCTGTCATCTTGCTGTTTGTAATGTACGTATCCTATTATACCGCCAGATAATAGACAACACGTTCCAAAAGTGAGTTTAGCAAGCGTTGACATTCTTTTTTTTGTATTATCTACTTTAAATATAATAATTCTTATAATAGTTATCGAGAGAAGTTAACACATGTCGAATATCAACTATCGAAAATAAGAACAATCGATCATTCGATACTTACCAATCTAATCGATATAACACATTGGCTGTTGTATAGAGTTGTGTAAAGTCGATATTTAAGTACGTAATACGGAAAAGAAAATGGTTCGAGTATTAATTCGTCAATCAACTCGATAACGGTATCATTTCTTATTTCTTATTTCTTATTTGTTACTCGAGCATGACGATTAGTTTTACTTTTACATATTTATATTATCGTTAGCTTTTGGTGCTCTAAAAAAAAATATTAAAGATGGCGTATATCTTCAAATACGTTATATATATACATATAAAATTTATAACAGTATGATTTAGTATGATTTTTTGTTACTTGTAATTCATGTCACATGTAATCGTATTATTATAAGAAAGAAAGCAGATGACAAAAAATGATTTATTTTTCTACCACATAGGAATCAAATTCTGCCTCATAGGACTATCCATGTTAGAAATAAACTATGGTTCTTGAAGAATTGTGATAAAATACATTATGGATTAACAATTAACGAAGAAGATTTTACATCGGTAGATCAACTTTTAACAGAAATATTTTTTGAAGAATATCAGATGATTTGTAGAAACCGATGAACATTATAAATTTATATTTTAAAAAGAAGAAAAGTGTTTGAAAAGTTAAGCCGTTGTTGGTGTTTACTAACCTAAAAAAATACCGTCAGAACGATTTGACTGTTTTTGTTTTGATATAATCACAGTGCATTCTATATTCTGAGGAATAAAATATAATCAAAAGAATTACCTTGTTTGATATCATTTCTTTTGGTAATAAGAAATGTATAAAAAATATTTGTTAAAAGCTCAAGCAAAAGAGGAGATACTGAATTTAAATTAAATACGGAAAATAAAGAACACATTTAATGAAACAATTTAATATTTTTAGTGATATATATCTGTACGAGATACAAATTTCATTATATATGAATTGTACTATTATAAAACTATTAGAAAATGGAAAATTATTGTGAAGTTTGTTCTTTGAAATTAAGGGATAATCATGAATTCCAAATTCATTTAACCGGCCAAAAACATTTAAAAAAGTATCAATTTAAAGAATTTCAGAGAAGAATTACCGAAAATTCTATATTTGTTTCTTCTATACCAAAATATATTTCCAAAGATGCAGTAATAAATTATTTTCTACAATATGGGCAAATTTCAAAACACAAAATTGGAAAAAATTATGTTATTATTGAATTTGAAAATAGGTATAAGAAAATTTGATTAATTAATTAATATTAATTATTTAGTTTAATACTTGTAGTACACTATCTTCTTTTCTTCCCTTTATAAGAGAACCTGCGGAATACTTATTAAAAAATCCAGTCTGGTTGAATAATATAAAATTAAATATTCAGAAAAGAATATTTTATAATAATGGTATGTTTTATATATTATATATACTTCTTTACATTCGTTTGTTAAATGGTATTAAATAATAATATTAAACATTTATTTTAAGATTCAAAAAGAATTCCCGATAATCATTTAGCGGAGACAACGAAAGCTACAGATTTGGATTGTATAAAGAGTGTATTCAAAAACGAAACTACATTTGAAAGTCAACTTGAAACATTTTTGAATACAGTACTGCTTAGTGATACAGAAGTTGAGGCACGATATGAATCCATCTGTAAATTTTTAGATAAAACATTTGCATGTGTATTTCCAAATTGTCGATCATATAGATTTGGATCCACGCAGATGGGACTAGGATTTAAGGAATGCGATTTGGATATTTATATGGATATTGGTAAACTTACATGTCATATTAATAAGCTTATAATTACGGTGAGATATAAATAATATACATTTTACAATTAATTACATTTCTTCTAGGTGTGCCAATATATGAATTAAATGGTGCTTTTACAATGAGAAAGGTGTTTAAAGAAGTTAAACATGTAATGTACAAGATGAATAACATATTTATTAATATAATACCAATACTAAAGGCAAAAACTCCTATTATAAAATGTTATTATGTTCCGAATAAGGTTTCTTGCGATATTTCATTTAAAAATGCTTTTGGTATATATAAAAGTAATCTTATAAAACACTGTCTTTCACTTGACACAAGAATAAAACCATTAATGGTAATCATTAAATTTTGGGGAAGACAAAGTAAAATGTCAGGTAGCGGGAAAATATCCAATTATGGATTATTATTATTAATAATATTTTATTTACAACAACCAGAAATAAGGATACTTCCACCTTTAATGGAATTCCAGAAAACGTGTGAACCTATAATTATTGATGGTTGGCAAGTAAACTTTGATGAAAATACGGTATTACCACCGATTACCAATTATAGCACTATTCCACAACTTCTGACAGGTTTTTTCGAATTCTATGCTAATTTTTCTTTCAAAAAAAATATCATTTGTCCGTGGGATGGCATAGCACATACAAAAGAATTATTTACCAAAACTTCCAATTTGCCAGACTATATGACACGATATAAGGAAATTGCAGTGCAAGAAGAATCTAGGCTTAGCGTTGGTAGTTTTGCTTGTATTCAAGATCCAATTGAATTAAATCATAATAATATAGCTTCTGTATATTCAAAAAAAATAATGTTGTTTCAAAAAAATTGCAAAATAAGCGAAGAAATCTGTACATCATCCCAAGAGGACAATTACAAAAATCTTTTAGAAAATTTACTTACATACGACTACAAAGAAGAAGTCAATAACTTGGTGGTAGTGGTAACGATACCGTCTGGATTATATGTAGATGTGGGTTTACCAGATAATTTTCAAGATCGTGAGGACATAGTTCATAAAGAAATATATAAAAAGGATAATTGGTACTTTATAGTATTCAATATTGTGAAAGATATTTTTGAGAAAATGTGCAAACTACAAGTAACAGTTCTTTCTGCTGACAATGAAACTAAACAACAAAAAATTGAAGTCTTATCCGATGTGCATACAAGAAAAGCTCAACAGCTTTTGTTGCACTGTACGGGAAATGACTCAGCATTGCTTAATAGGAAATCTTGTACAGGTAGTTCGGATCTTCGTAGAAGCCCTTTAAATAAAGAAATTAGCATATCGGATATTGCTGTAGAAAGGAACTCTAAAAGACAAGAGTACAAACCATTAAAATTAGACTTTACGTGTATATTCGAAAAGATAGATGATCCAGTGCAAGTCAAATTAGTACTAAAAAGCGATAAAATGAAAAATAATATTTTTAAAAATTATGGAAATTTCATTGGTTCAAAATTGCGAAAAGTTACTATGAATACTTTACTGCATATGAAGAGATGTAAACTTACATTAAATGATTTATAAAACATCTGATGTACCTATTATGATCGATTGTATTATTAGGTAAATATTTCAAATTTGATAAATGCAAAAGAAAGGACCAAAATATTCTGACAGCATTTATCATATTTTGTTGCAGTTCTAAATATAATATTAATCCATTGAACACAAATAATTAAATAAAACGGAACTCAAAATATTGTGAGCTATTAACAAGCATATATATAAAATCTTATTTTCTTAATCTCTAGAGTTTTAATAAATTATTTTTCTACACATAAAAAAAATAATTCTTTCTTTCGAAAGAATTTAAATATTGGGATAAATTTTGTTTTATCAATGAAAGAATATGTATTACTAAGGAACAGATCATAAAAAAAAGATGTTATGAGTGTAAATAATCGATCGTAGAAAATAATTGTATCAGTGTTTGCGTATGACGATTGTATCATTTGCAATTTAAGATTTTCTTATATTGTATAGAGATATATGAATAGTTAATTAAATTATTTACAATGAATAAAAGCTTTTATCCTTGTAACGCATAATAATTTCATGGTAAAGTTAATAATTATTATTTGTAATAATAATAATTAGGTGCACATGTGTGTGTGTCAGCGTTAAATCGTATAATTCAATTAAATTATGGAAACCTTATATATTAACTACTGGCCTCTTATAAATTCATATATTACTTTTTGTTAATTGAAGTATATAATTCTGTCTTCTTTCATATTTAAACAGATCAGTATAATTATTACAGAATTTAGTTAGTTATTTAAAAATATCAACAATAACATATACATAAAGTTATAAAGAGAAGTAAGGAATTTGGCGCCAACTATTTAAACATTAGTTTGGTTTAAGTCGATTAGTTAGTTAGATTCCTTCTATTGGTAATCAAGATGGCGGACTATAGTAATGCGTCAAGTATTCGTGGTTTGTAATTCTTCGGGTTTTAACTACTGGATATTAGTGTTTTAAAATTTAGGGAAGAGAATAGATTTTCAACTGTTATTCAGATATATCATTACTTCTCATTTTAATTTATGTCATCGTTGGGATAAAGATAGGTATATATAAAAACAATATCGATTAATCCAGCAAAGAAACAAAATAAAGACAGATATATCTTTGGCTATGAGTTAATTACGATTGTTCTGATTTTTAGCAGTGAAAAGCATGTTATACTTATGTTGAGTCGCATTGAATTCCTATTTAGCTTATCAAAAAAATAAATATGTCTGACGATGTAAAATGCATGAATAGTTGAACAGATTCAGAGATCCGAAATTTAGATCAGCAACGAGTAACGAGTTATCAATGGGTTCTACGCTTAGTAAATAATGTGAAAAAAATATATAAATAAATAATACAAATTAAATTCTAATTCCAAAATATTCCTCTTCGAGAAACGTGAAATATTTAACGTTTGGTATATTTTACAATTACGAGTCTTAATTTTCTTGTTAAAAACGTATTTTTACAGTGCTTAATGAATATTGTAGATTTAAATATTTTTATGCAGTTATTCTTGGACTTCATATCTATTGTAAATAAGTACATACCACGTTTTATAATAGGTATGTTCTGCCTGTCTTTGTCTTAAGAGTATAAAGTTAAATTAAAATAAATTTAAGAAACTTACAAAAATATACGAACTTTCTGTATACTCCTATATATAACAAAATGAAAGCTCTCGGAATAATTACAGTTTTTAAGCAAAATGAGTGATCTTACCAAAATGGAAGAATCACATACACCGACCATTGAAAAAGAGACCGATAACAAAGCCAGCGATAAGTTGAAAAAAGAACAATTTTCTATTGTGCAAAAAGAGTCTATCGTTAAAAAAACCACTGAAGATGTACAGCGTGCCATTGATGGTCTCAAGGAAATACCGGATGAAGAACTTCAAGAGTTTCTGGGTGATGATTTTATGGAAGGTCTCAATGTTGTCGATGCGTGGGAAGGAGAGGAAGATAAAAATCGTGAGGAACAAAAATCTCAAACTAAAGAGAACGAACAAAAACAAACAACTAGGTAGAAAATTCATATTTTATTAAGAAAGATATTTATTTAATTATAATGTTTAATTTTAATTTTTTACTGTATTGCTTTTGTGGTATTTAAAAAAATATTTTTTCAAATTATATAGTAGATAATTGTTTGTATCATCCCCTACAATCTCTACTTAATACATGTTTTAGTATTTTTTTGCACCTGTATTAAGAAAGAAGTTATATTTCAATTATATTGTAACAACCAGTGATATTTGACAAAAAGTGATAGAAAGAATAATTATAGGGAGCACAATCGCAAGGAACATAAACAATCTTACAGTCGTGAGAAACCGAAACGAGAGGAAAAGAAACGTGAGGAAACTCGACGAGATCCATCTAAAAGTACAAAGGATATAGAAAGAGACAAAATGCGTACGAAAAGGGACAATGAGAGTAAACTATTGGCGGAGAAAGAAAAAGCTATAAAACATTTACTTGATTCAGACAATGTAGTACCACCTGGTACAGAAAGCGAAGCGATTCAAAGTATTACTGATAAACAAAATGAGGAACGAGTACAAATGCGAACTCGAAAAAGTAGAGAACGTCGTAGAAGTCAAGAAAGAATAAAATTAAGTCCAGTACGTAGAAAAAGTTATGATAGATTCAGAACAAGTCCGCACAGAAGAATATTGAGTCCTATTCGTCGTAGAAGTCCTTTCAGAATGAGCCCAGAAAGAAGGAGAAGTTCTCCTAGAATAAATTGTGATCGTAGAAGTCCTCTTTTATTATCACCAGAAAGAAGAAGAAGTCCGTATAGACGATTAAGTTGGGAACGAAGATTAAGTGCAGATAGAAGATGGAGTGCCGAACGACATAAAAGAAGAATGGAAATACAAGAACGGTAAGAGAATATATATTTTCTATTATACATACTATTTAACTAGTCGCGTATCGTTTAAGATCGCGACTAAGCACACGTGTATTGATTAGTTCCTCGAAGTGCTGATTCTTCGAGACTAAAGGACAAAAATTTATATTTTAACTTTAAATTCACAAGACGAAGAAGTCGATCTCGTGATCGGCAACGAAGTCGCAGCTTGGAACGTTTTCGAAGAAGGTCCCGTTCGCCGATTAATAGGAGATACAGTCCAAGACGTCGAAGTCGTACTCGTAGCAGATCTTTGGAACGACGCACCAGGAAAAGATCACCCTTCATCAATGAACTTGCCAGGCAATTGCGAAATGAAGCTATAATGTCTAATTCTACGTATATCCCAGCATCCTCGATGGAAGGAATATCACCGATTATGAATGCATCTATATATCCACAAGAGGCAGAAGTTCGAGGACCATTGTCTCAGCCTTATATGCATCAGGGTGGACCACCGACACCAGCACAACAACCACAACCACCACCACCATCTTCTGTGTTGCCAATGTCATCAGGAATGCAGTCATTTATGAATTTTGATATTCCTTCATCATCACAACCACCTATGGGCTTCGATGGTGCTCCTTTGCATTCAATACCACCTGCTCACTACTCCTCTGGCCCCGTAATGTACAATCATAATACTGTACAAACGAATACTATGCCAACACAATCAGGAAGCCGAACAGCTCTACTTCCTACACCTCATCAAACTACGCCACAACCAGTGCCTGCACCAGGATCAATGGATCAATCAGTCATGGGAGGATATGTGTCACAACATGGGGTTGTTTCTCATCTAGAGTCATCCAACAATAAGCCTGTTAATGCATCTGTAGTCCTTTCACCATCATCGAATTACAAAGACCATAGGTCATTGCTATCCTCGCATAATGGATTCCAGGCTTGTGAAGAACGCTTGATGACTCCAGAACCACCAGTCATCTCTGATACCAAAGTAAACACCTTATGTATCATAGCAATAATATTTTATTTACTTGTTCAATTGTCAAGAAGCGTGAAATCGTTATTTCTTTGCATTAATTATATAACAATGCCTTTGCCAATGTATTCATTTATACAACACACTTATGTATATTACTTGGACTAAATCTGTATCTGTTTTATATCCAGAAAATAATATTAATTTTTCACTTTAAATTTAAACTTACAGCAATTTGAAAAGACCAGCTTGTCCAGTCTACTGGAAGCGTCTGTTTCTGCTAAAGGTGCGAGTATGAGCTTTTTTTATTTTGTATCCTAAAGAATTTGTAAACCAATCTCAATTTGTGCGACTTAACATATGATATTAATATCGTTGCATTTTCTTTTTTATATCCTTTAGATTCGTCTAGTCCTCCAGTCTTATATCCAGGTGAGAATTTTGATGTTAATGATATTAAAGTGCTTTCAATCGCGTTTTGTGTTTTGAAAAGTGAAAAATGTCATTGCTATTGCTTATACGTTAATGGTATATGCAAAATATGATATAAGAGAAAGAAAGAAAGAAAGAAAAAAAATATAAAAAGTAAAAGAAAAACAAAGTGAAGTGTAACAACTCATTTTCACGCGTGATCGTTGATTCTCTGTGAGAAACACTCACGAAGCATGAAAATGATATGAAAACTAGAATATTAAAACGACCAATATATTCTCTCGTATTAATCGTACGTGGAATTTGTTTTTTCCATGGTAGGATTCAAGCCAGAAATACTACGGCATTGCGAGCACGCGCTACGTGAACTTCCAATCGAAGATCCACGTTTGAAAATGAAGGGTAGATTTTTCTTTGACCCAAAGAAAGCAGACTCTAAAAGCAAGTACGAGGAATATCCTTCCAATTCTATACTCTTGCAGAAAGGCAAGAACAAAATATATTGGGAGGAAGAAGAGGTACAACAATACGATACGTCGTTGATAACGCAAACCATGCAGATGCATCAAAAAATTTGTCAAACGGAAGAAATTGAAACAGATTCGAAATTCGTGGAAGCGCGTGTCGATATGGTTGATTTTGAGATGCAAGTATATCCACATGACATTGAACATGGGATGAAAGAGGAGAGAAAATCTATCATGGATAGGCTCGATTGGAAGACGCGGGATAAACCTCGAGAGGCGGACGACTTGAGATGGAGCTTGACCAATTCGTCTCAAAAACGCCCGTGGAAGAGAACATTGTCTCCGCCTAATAGAAGATCCCACGATCGGGATCATTTCGAAACCGTACCTTCGCCGGAACATCCATCGAGAGACTCCCCTATGAGAAGTAGAGATAGTTATTCTAGGGGACCGATTCGAGAACAATATGATAGATATTCACCGAATTATAAGCGTTCGATGACCATAGACGATTTTCGCGAGACCAGAAGTGATCGTAGTCGGGGCGAAAGTCCAATGAAACTCGAGGATTCCGAGGAAGATTCGGACGAAATATTTACATTCCAAAGAGAAATGATCGGTTGGTGTGGAAGAGGAGGAAGATCGTTTCGAGGGAAATCTAATACGACGAGAGGAAAATATTCGGGAGGTAGACGTGGACGTGGCTGTTTTCAGAAGTTTTAATTTCTTATAAATTATATATGTAGTAAAGTAGATATATTGGAAATAATTATATTTGCGAAATTACAGAAAATACACACACAGTTCGGCGTACGGTATAAGTTTATGGTATTATCAAATCAGTATGTACATTATTTACAAAAAGTACCAAGTCATCGCATATATACGATTAACTATACCGTTCGGCCGACAAATCAAGTGTAAACATTTTTTTCTACGCGCAAAAAATAAAAATTGAACCCGTCAACGAAGTGCGTGCATAAGTTTTTAAAAGTGCAAGCGTAAAGGGGAAATAATTAATTTCCTCTGCACAAATATACTGTAATACGGTGCCTACGAAAAGCATCGAATCGCAATCTGTTTTTTGCCATACTCTTGTGATTTTTTATATTATATATATGTAATCATAATGATTTATACATATTAATATGTAATATGTATATATGTTTTTACTAAAGACAAAAAAATCTTCAAATTGTTAATGCCAGTGAAACAAACGAGCAATGTTATTTTAATCCTTTTTTGCGTATATTTATCGCAAAAAATTGGTTGTATCGACGTCTTTCATAGTTATCCGTATATCGTGCAAGGGATAAGAAAAGCTTTTCAACCAATGAAAAGATTTTTTTTTTTCAAATATACACATAAACCCATAATCTATGCATTTCATCTGCCATTACGATCCCCGATAGAAATTATATTGTCTCATTTACCATTATGCTATTTAAATGCATATTATTGATTTTTTAACGGCAATATATCCATTATAGAATTTGAAAAATCTCATTCTCTTCTTTGGAGAACCCGATAATCAACATACGTACAGCATATATTTCAAAACGAACGATTCGAATTGAATCGACATTTCAACGAATAATATCGTAGCACGTTTTCGGACAAATCAGAGTGATTTCGAATGGAACATTTGAATTAGCTTTACCGAAAAAGAGCCAATAGGAAAGGTTGGAGAAAAAAGTCAAATAAGGTTGCGATTGGTCGAGGTCAAGGATTGGGTGAAAATAGTAGAACAACGATAACTAAAGGGAAACGTTGGTTGGTGGATTCGGACACAGGCTAGTGCGATAGTGCAAGGAGAAGGAGAGAGCGAGGAACGCTAGCGCCAGCGGTCCGCGCGACGGAAATTGGAGGAAACATTCGGCATGGATCCAGCTCCATGTTCGGCCGTGAAAGCGATGCGGTGTCCCCGCGGTTAGGGCGTAAGATTCTCGTTGCTTTGGCGAGAACGTGGTGCGTTTTGTACGCGTCGGCCGGTGAATCGGTCGACGGAAAAGGGCGCGCTATCGGACGTAAGTCTTATCGGGAGTTCGGTACACAGTGTTGGTGGGTGTGCGCGCGTCGAGGTAGAGCGGCGTGGCGGAGCGACTTGAGAGACTCGTGGAGAGGAATACGACAAGAGGAAGTAGAAGTGGAAGAAGACGAAGAAGAAGGAGGAGAAGGAGGAAGAGGAGGTAGTGGTGTTGTTGGTCAATTTAGAAAAGAAGGAGAAAGAGTATTACGTGGTGGTGCCTCGTTAAGAGGAAGGAGAAAAGGAAGGTTTGTCCTGGTAGACGTCCGCTCGTCAAGCTCGTCACGGCGGTGTACGGTGTCGCGAGGTTCATCGTCGGCCGAAGGGCTCGTCGTCGAAGCGTGTCGTCGTCGTCGTCGTCGTCGTCGTTGTCGTCGTCGACGGTGACGCCGGCCGCGGCGGCGCGTGGTGCGAGGACGAGGTGAATGCACGGCGGCCGCGGTGTGTGTGTCAGTGGTGTAAGCTCGTGTCTTCTGCGCTCGTGGAAACCCGCCAAAAGCCGCGGCCGCGAACAAGCACCACTAGGATTAGCAGCAGTGGCGTGTACGACAGCTGGACCGAGATCTTTTTCCTCGTCGTCCTCGTTATCGTTATCGTTATCATCGTGATCGTTTTTGTTGGTGCCGTCGTTATTAGTGAACGCGAACGTGCTCTGTCAAAGAAGAACGGAAAGAAGGATAAAGGATTGCAAAGGGATAAATTTGGTAGGAAAGAAGTATTCTTCTTATCATCGACACGTTGCGTCTTATTTCTCGTTTGGACATTATATCATTTTGAGAACGCGTATCGTCGCAACGTTTCTGGACCAATACCCCACTGCTATTACTCCGAAAAGCAGTAGCAGTAGCAGCAGCATCGGCGGCGTCAGCGCACGACGGTGGCGGCTGCGTTCTGTTATTATTTTGCCGCGGTGCTTTTGACCCTTCGAACCGGGCGAGTTCATTGCGGCAGTGTCGCGGGGGTGTTTGCCCGACGTCTAGCGCACCACTTGGCGGCGGCGGCGGTGGCGGTGGCGGTGGCGGCGGCGGTGACGGCGACGACGACACGACAACGGTAGTAGTGGCGGTAGTGGTGGCGGCGGTGGTGGTGGAGGTGGTCGTCGTCGTGGTGGTGGCGGCGACGACGACGACAGCAGTGGCGCCAGAAGAGAAGGACGTCGCGCGAGCGCGTCCGCTCGCACTACTCGCGCTCCTTTTGCTTCTTTCACCTCCTCGTGGCCGATAACCTATCGGGTAATCGCGCGAGAGAGCGCCGCCTCGAGAGTAGAAAAGGAGCCGTCTCTTTATCTTCTCTTTTTTCTTCTCTCTCTCTCTCTCTCTCTCTCTCTGTCTGTTTCTTTCCGCTCCTTCCTCGAGACGACGCGAACATCGCGGCGAGAAAGGTGTGCTGCGGAGTACCACGTGATAAGGTGCAACACCTCTTCGCCTTCTCTTTGTTTTCATTCTTGCTCTCTTTGCCGTTGTCGTCGTCGTCGTTGTCATCATTGCATCGTCGTCGTCGTCGTCGTCGTCTTCCTCTTCCTCCTCGTTGTTTGTCGTGTCGTCATTTTACACAACGGTAATAAGAGCGTCTCAACATTATCAACAACGACACATCGAAATCGTTCATATCGTACATTTTTGGAACGCGTTTAACGAACGGAAACAAAGAGAGAACCACTGTCAATGGTGTATCGTCTGCACTCTTGTAAGAGTGCAACGACGAGACTACACAAGACAGCAACAACAACAACAAAAACAACGTCACAGCAGAAGCAGTAAGCAAGTAGAGTAATTGTAACAAAAGCGAGGGAAGGAGGACAGAAAAGTTGTCGCGCTCTCGGGAGTGTCCCGCCGCGTGCTTGGTGATATCGGTGAAGAAAGGGAGAGAGGTAGAGGGTGGTAGGAGGGTGGAATATTGAAGGGGGACAAGGAAGAAGGAAAGGGCGAGAGTAAGCATCCTCGCTAAACTCTCTCTCTCTCTCTCTCTCTCTCGCGCGAGCGTTAGATAAACGACAGGCAGGCAGGCAGGCAGGCAAGCGAGCAGTCAGGCAGGAAGAACAGAATTAAAGGCGCGCTTTCCGTTGTCGTCGACGTTGTCAACGGCGTCAACGTCGCTGACGTCAGGTCTCGCGAGTTCCACGTGCGCGCGTGTTACTCGTGTTTGCTAGTGTTGTCGTCGTCGTCGTCGTCGTCGCGTCGTATCGTATCACGTTGTGTTCCAAATTGTCCGATCTGTCAGCGATAACGGTTCATCATCGTGTAGCTCGTGGAAAGAGAAAACGGAAGTCTGACATTTTAACGCGACGACGAAGATACAGGTGTCCACGTGTTACGTTGAACGTTGGACAAGAATAGTACTTGCCTGAGAACGATATTGCAGGAACAATTTCTGCGACGGTTATTCGATTTCATGGCTACGACCTGATTATTCCTTCGTCGAGGCTCGATCGGATTAAAAGAAAGGCAAGTAAGCAAATACAGGCAGGCAAGCGAGCGAGCGAACGAACGAACGAATAAGCAGGCGGGTAGGCGGGTGTAGGCAGAAAGAGAGCCGCGAAACAAGAGGGGTAGGAGGAGGGAACACGGTGTGCGCAACGGTGTGTCGTGTGTCAGAGGAAAAGAGAGAGAGAGCGAAGAAGAAATCGCGACTTTCGGTGCGGGTTGCGTGCCTTGATCAAGCGTGCGACAAAGAAAGAGGATAAAGAGGCGGAGGTGGTGGTGGAGGAGGAGGAGGAGAAGGAAAAGGAAGAAGAAGCGGTGAGCTAGCAAGCGGGGTATAGGAGAGGAAAGCACCGTCCGAAGGCCGAGCGTATGTGACAGTTCGCCTTCCGTGGTCCGACTCCTTCGCGTTTCGCGGCGGCGGTAGTTCGCCTCTTCTTCGCCTTGTGTTTTTCCACTTCCGCGTGTCCCTGTGTGTCTCTGTGTGTATGTGTGCGCCAATCCACCCCCACCGTTTTATATTTTGTTTTCTTTTTTCTTCTCTTCTTACGTCTCTTGTGCCAGCACTGCCAGCAAGCTAGTGTGCCGTGTTGTCGTCGGTGAAGTGCTTTGCAAAGAAAGAGAAAAAGAGATATATATATATATATATATATATATATATATACACATTATATATATTATGTATACGTATATATAAATATAGATATATATACATATACATATATACGTATATCTAAACGTGCTGCATTATTATTATATTTCGGTGAGACAGGCGTGCGTGGCCTCGAGCCTCGTCGTGGTTAGTGGAAGAAGAGGAAGACGACGAAAGGGAAGGAGGGAGAGGGGGAGGAGGAGGAGGAGGAGGAAAGAGGAGAGGAAAGAACGAAGGAGAACTGGCGGAGGTGGTGGTGGTGGTGGTGGTGGTGGAGAAAGTGGTGGAGGAGAAGAAGAAGAAGAAAAAGAAGAAGCAAGGTGCTGGTGGACGACGCCTCTCGAGTCTTCTTCTTCGAGCACCACCGAGGTATCTTCCTTTCTTCTTCTTCTTCTTCTTCTCTTTTCCTTTTTCCCTTTTTCCTATCATTTTTTTTCTCTCTTTCTCTCTCTATCTCGCTTCCTACTTCCTGCATACACGCAGGAACGAAGCATTTGTAGCTCGTATCGTATTCGTATTCGAAGTTTTAAAGTCGAAGTCGAAGTCGAAGTCGACCGCGTGTTCTGTACGGTGTAATATATACGTAAAGAAAGGAACGCGCGCGCTCTCGTGCGGCACTAGCCGTTGCCGTTGTCGTCGTGTCGTCTCCGTCGCCGTAGCCGTAGCCGTCGTCGAGTTGAGGTTAGGTCTCCCAACGGACGAATCGCTATCGTGCTGCGTATTTCGAGACGTACGTATCGAAGTGGACGATCGAACGAAGAGCGGAGAAGCGCGTGCGACTCCGCTCCTATGCGCGATCCTTTCCTACGGTAAACTTCCGTTTGTTCGTATAATCTCTCTCTCTCTTTCTTTCTTTTTCTCTCCATCCCTCTTTCTCTCTCTATCTCTCTTTCTCTTTCTATCTATCTATCTCGCGCGTGTTTAACGTTTTCTACGTCTTTCTCTGTTTCCCCGACAAAGTGTAAAGTTTTGTCTTACTCTCTCTCTCTCTCGTATCTTCCTTTTACTTCGATTCAAAGGGCTCTACAAAGTGTCGTGTCGTGTCGTGTCGTATCATGTCGTGTCATAGCACACACACACCGCATGAAATCTCGAACGGCACGTTCGCGAGTTTTGGGTGAAAGTTCGATAGTGTGCGCCGTTATCGTCGCTGCTGCTGCTGTGTCTGCTATTACTGCTGCTGCTTTGCTGTGCTGCTGCTACCTTCAGAGGTTAAGTCACTGTCCGCTAGAACTTAACCTCAAAAATTATCGATGGGACGTTGTGGTACTTTAGTATTTTACGCGTCGTCGTCGTCGTCGTCGTCGTCATCGTCATCGTCATCATCGTTGCCGTCGTGTCGACGTTGTTCTTCTTGTCATTATTGTGCGACATGCATTTATAATTTCTCTTCCTTCCTTTTTTTTTTTTATGTACATATATCTATGTACTTTTATTTTTTTTTGTATTTTTTAGCTTAACAAGGAACATCATAAACATTTTCTCGTGTGATTTTACGCTCTTTCGTATTGTCGCGCAATCTTACGCGCGCGCGCGCAATCGTGCTCTCTCTCTCTAACTCTCTCGCACGATAAATTTGCACGTAGTAAGTAAGTATGTACATATATGTATACACACGTATAACGCGTCGAAGCTTCCTGTCTCCATTGATAGATTTCTTCTTATCGATGCATTACGCGTCTCGATCTAAACGAATAACTCGATCTTTCTTACTTTTTATTTCTCTCTCCCCCTCTCTCTCTATTTTTCTTTCTTTTTTGGTTTGTTTCTTTTTTTCGCAGCAACTTTTCCTTGTCATCCGTCGTTAGATCGTTCATTCATTATTTCGTTCGTTTGTATCGTTCGTAGAGTATTCATATCGAACTTTATTATTCGTTCATCGATCTCTCCATAGCAATAATTTTCGTCGTAACGATAATGAGAATATTCCCCGACGTGGATGAGTCATGCACGTGGCGCCATTAGAGAAAAGAAAAATGGAGTACGACGTTTATACCGCGTGTTACGACGTTGCGATTGAGAGGATTAAAACTCGTTAACGTGTTTTACGAAAAACGTATTTTTGAAATTTCCTTCTAATCGATTCTCGGAATTATCGGAAATATGTAGGATGAGTCAGCGAACATTGTCATCTTTGATGACATTGTATTTATCGATATCAGGAAATAATGTTTCGTATAATGTAAAAGGAGAAGAAGTAGCCAACAAGTGAATGCATATATATGTATAACTGCAACTTCACGTTCATTCTAAAGTCCACAAATTAAAAATGATATTTCGTTCTTGATAACGATAATAATAATAATAATGATAATAATAATAATAATGATGATTAGATTGACTCATTCTCTGTATTTCTTTGATTTTCTCTCCTTCTCTATTTTTTTTTCTTAACGTAGCAACTAAAAAGAAACAAAAAAATGAAACGAATTTGAATTCGTTGAAACAAAGAATGTATTCGAGTTCGTGCAATGCTTAATCCGCGAATTCCTTTCCCGGTTATTCGACACCTCAATGCAAGGAAAAGAAGCCGCTTTCCTAAGCGGCCAGGCTGCTTTCGTAAGCGAGAATGGCTGGAACGTAATCGGATTAACTTCACTTCTTACTTTGAATTTACCGCCTATCGGGAGTAGTAGCGGTCACGTGATCGGGGATCGCGCGAACTTTCAAATGATCCCAATCCGAGGAATACATTTCTCACGTATTCTCATAGAATAAGTCAATCAAAACTTTGATTTACGTTATCCAGTGGATTACCTCGATATAAAATTAAACTCTTTAACAAGTTTAAATCCGAGAATAGTAGAAAAAAAAGTGTGATTAATAATTGAATCATTATTTCTTAAGTTGCACATTTTTTCTCATTCGTTTTAACCAAAGACGAACAAATTTTATTAGTGTATCGGGGTTCTTCTTAAAATCAATCATATTCTAATATATATTCTAACGCGATTATTTTGAATCATTTTAAAAGAAACCTCGTAGATCGGCATTTCTCGTAATTTCGGCTCGCATTTGACCCGCAAAGCGGTGCCGAGGTGGATCGATTAAGAGAGAACGACGATAGGTCAGTTACGTACGAGATTTACATGCCCCAGCTTCCGCGTGATCCATCCGTCGTCCTCCCTGTCTCCCTCTTTCTCCTTTTACCTCTTCCCTTCCCCTCTAACCTTCTCTCACTCTCTTTCTCTTTCCTTTCCCTTCCGTTTTCCCTCTGTGCTTTATCGGAGAGATTCGACCGCGAACTACGCGCCTTTTTTTTTTCTTTTTTTTTTTTTTCAACGAACAATGTTCAAGGTCACGATTAAATATAGAACCCAAGCTCTCTCTCTCTCTCTCTCTCTCTTCCTCTATTGTCGTTCCAAGTAATAAAAAAGAAATTAAGAAAAATTCATTTACGTAAACACCAAGTACGTATAAGTTCGTTCTTATCTACGTTTCTGTCCGACGTGCATATACATATACATATGTATATTTGTTAATGAGCGATAGGCAAGTCTGTGAACATCTTTAGAGAGTTCGTTTTACTTTTTGCTTGTACTTACTTATATTATCGACACGAGGAATGTAGCCGTACGCGGAAACACGGCGCTTCTAATAATAGACAACACGTTTCACGACGTCACTTATTGGTCGGCTTTACTTAGTAGGCTCTCTTGAAGGAGAGAGAAAGAGAAAAAACGAAAGACAGACAGATAGACAGAAAGATAGAAACACGCGTCGCGTCTACGTTTAGCGTGCTAACGGTTAGGCCACTTATTGCAAACTCGTGTTGTTTCAATTTAAAAGGAAAAAAACATTGACTTAGATTATTTTTACAATATTTTTGATCAAAGATTAGATGGTGGGAAAGAGATAAAAAGAGAGAAAGAGAGAGAGAGAGAGAGAGCGCGAGAAAGGATGAATACAAAATTTATGCACTGTTTTTTTTTTCCTCTTTTTCTTTTTTTCTTCTTCTCTTTTTTTTAAGCTTTTTCCTAACTCGAGTTTTTCCAGTCACGTGGTATTGTTTACCAACGTCGATCAATCGTACTGAGACCACCACACTGTCGCCACTATCTCTCTCTCTCTCTCTCTTTCTTTCTCTTTTCCTTCTCACTTTTTCTCTCTCTCTCTCTCTCTCTCTCTCTCTCTCTCTCTCTCTCTCTCTCTCTAGATTAATCCTCAAACGAAGAGGAATTGCAATTTGTTTGTAATTTATTTTAATTCTTTACCGATCGCGTAAAGTTAATCGTCCTGACGTTTTCGAACGATGAGAAGTAACGTAAACGTATAATTAACGTTATACGAAAGCGTATACGAGTGGTGGTGGGATGGGGTGGTGGGGTAGGGGGTGACAAGACTCTTTGTCTTTCTCATTCTCGTTGTTTAATCCTATTGTTAAGAAAAGTCACGATGCGGTGCGTCGCCAGACTGAAGGCCAATAATCATTAGTCAATGTTTTCAATATCGTTGCTTTTCGTGTTGCGTTCCTTTCGAAAGTGTTCTGCCGAGAAATTGAAAAGGAAAAACGGATGTAAATTTAAAAAAGGGAAAAGAAAAAATATAGTGCAGATAGACAAATAGATAAATAAATAAATAAATGAATAAATAGAGATAAAATCGGAGAGAATTTTCTCGATCGAGATCGTTGTCAATAGTAGCAATAACACCAATGCCAACAGATTATTACGATAGGCGGATGGTAGGGAGGGAGACTCATAGAAAAACGGGGTTCAACTAGAAAAAGAGTTGGAAAGAGATAAAAAAAAAAAAAAACAAAGTTTACGTGCATACGACGCTGATGCGGGGAATGGGGGCGAGGGGTATCATCATCATCCTTTGTCGGTAGTAACGCGTCGCGAAAACAAAGCGGAAACGGCACGCGTATCGCATGAACTGCGTGTGCTGTCTATATCGTTTTATTAAAAGAGAGAAAGAGAAAGAAAGAGAGAGAGAGAAAACCCGTAGATTTAATCTCACGGATTTCATCCCATTACTCGACCCTTTATTTCTATCATTAACATCGTTATCACATGTGACGATCAAAAGGTATCCCTTTTCTATCTCTCTCTCTCTCTCTCTCCCGTTTTTTTCTTTTACATTGATAATTTCTTCCTATCATCCTTCTTATTCGCGATAAAGTGAATAGTATATGTGTGAATATAGAAATAAAAATATATATTTAAAAGGATTCAAAAATAAATTTAAAAGGATTCAAAAATAAATTTAAAAGGATTCAGAAAAGAGATGACAAACGCAACGTGAATCGTGTCATCATTCTATTTCGTCTCTTTAATTTTTAAAACTACGGGTAAACAAAAGAAAAGAAGAAGAAGAAGCAAAAAGTCATGTTGTTGTTTTTATTACCAACATATGTGCTTCTTTTATTAGAGAACAAACGAATCTCCGAAAAGTGAGATCTTACCTATTTACTATAACATTTGTTATGTTCCCTCCTGGTGGTGTGCTGGGATCTTTCTTTTCTCTTTTCTAACATCAAGGAAGAAAAGAACCGCTGAAGGCCATCTGTTTAGAACGTGTCAATTCCTTATTTTCTCTTAATCCTAATCCTCCTTTCATATAACACAACAAGAAATCCTTTTCATATTCGTTAAAACTCGAAACTTGCCTGCCGAACAAACTTTTACTTTTCCTTAATTTTTTTTTTCTTATTTTTTTTTAAATTCCCTTCCCTTATGCTTTTATGTTGTATTGTTTCCCCCTTTATATACACGTTCTTTCTTCTCCTCCACGTGCGTATATTTTCTCACCTCGTTTTTCAACGGCCAAAAATTTTCTCTTATCGAAGATAAAATCAGATATTTCGTAAAAAGCACTCGGAATCATCCAACGCGGAAAAGTCAAAATCTAACTGAAGGATCTTTCCCTTTACCGATATTATAAAAGCCCTCCTCCTCCTCCTTCTCCTCCTCCTACTCCCTTGTCCAATCCTTGTCGCGTTCTTTTGCCCAAACGATAACTCTTTAGTATTTTTTTTTGTTTTCCTTTTATTTTTACGCGACAAAGGACTACCTTTCGTCGTGCAAATTTTGTGGACACCTCTTTTAATGATTTACTCTTTAATATTTTGTTTAGAACCCATGGAAATTAATGTAGAATGAGTGTGTGTGTGAGAGAGAGAGTGAGAGAGAATAATTATAATAGACAACTATACTAATCGATGAAATTAACGTCGATCAACGGTGTAACGCGTTGCGTATAAGTTTAATCACTTTTTGGAACGCAACGTGATTACATGAATACCATTAAAAAGAAAACAAAAAAAAATATATATATATGAAAGAGAGATTAAAAAAAAAATATATATACCGTTTCATTAATATCGCAATATGAACCATGTAATTTGTATTTTTTTTAGAAACGAGTTAATTATTTTTCTCCCAAAAGGATATTATTATTATTATTACTAGTTATTAATCAAAATATAGAGGTAATATTTTGGTCATGTTACATGGTTGATGCAGCTTGATCGAATAAAAAAAAAAAAGAGAAAAAAAAAAACATTGAATAAATGAATGAAAAGTGCGTAAAAGAGTATGTACTGTGAACGCTCATACGACGAGATAATAGGTGTCTTGCTGAGATCGACCTTTTTAAATCGATATAGAACTTTTACTCGCCATTTCTGGTTCATATATGTTTAAATATAGATCGAAGTTCGCGAGCAAGGAAAGAGAAAGAAGATGGAGGTCTTAGAACGAAAGGTTCGCTTGTTAATCCCCCCCCCCCTCTCTCCTCCTCGTCCCACCACCCTTTTATCTCTCTTTTTAACTCTTTCTTTCTTTCTTTTTTTCTCATTTGAAATTGTTATAGATGTGGAAGTGTAACAACAACGGCACACATGTTTAGAAAGTATAACAAATTTTGTTATTTAAAAATGCATACACACATTGAGAGAGAGTATCTTTTAAAATAATACAGTAGTGTTACGCTTAATAAATTTTTCATTTTATATAGGTATACATATATTCTATTATTTATATTTCGAATATTATTATGTGCGTTATAAATACATATATAGGTATATATAAACTTCGAAAAGTAATATAAACAATAATTAATAGATGAATTTTAACTGACTTTCATAGGGGACAACGAGAAACAGTCTAACGGGGGATTTCGTAGAGGACGGTTCATCGAGCTTATACTACGTGCTTTTAGATTAGAATATACATTTATTTCGATTAATTATCAATTAATTAAGGTAAATCGAACACACAGTATTGTATTATATTAATATTTTATATCGTTTAAATTCAAATACATTTGTTTTCAAGTTCTTAACCAATGATTACTGTGAATTGAAAAATTTCATCCAATAAAATGTCAGATCTATAAATTGTTTATACGAAATTTAAATCATTTTTAAACAAACGTATTCTGTATTATTTTTAATTTAATGAGTATTAAACTGATTGTAATACTAAATTTAAAGGTACATTATTTTTGCATTCGTTTAATTCAATTGTTATAAATAAAACTTTCACGCGTGTTAAATTCGTGTGAAATATCTAATTTAAGATAATATTTTTAATGTATTTATTTTTCAATTTTGTTTAATCTTAAAGATATTATATCGATAATCTTTGTTCAATGAAAACTATTAGCAAGCGTAAAGGTGTAAATAATTTTAAGAGAAACTCTCATTCGTACATAATACATTATTCCACATTTGATTGTAGGATTTTCATTTTATTCTCGTATATATCCTTTAATCAACGTAAACGTATAAATCCTCGCGTAGGTAAGATACATGATAGTATTCTCACGATCGTTTAACACAATCGACAAGTAAATAACTAAATGATTATTAATCTCCAACTATATTTCTTTTACTTTTTCTTCATTTTCTTCTTCTTCTTCTTCTTCTTCATTTTCTCCTTCTCAGGGAAGAAACCTTCTTACGTTTCCGCACGAGTTTTCCTATTGCGAGTCAACTTGAAGCTCGTAGAGCGTTTCTTTTCAGAGTGGAACGAACTTTCGCTTAATATGGATAATGCTTCTTGAAAGAGCGCTTTTCAAAACCTCTATTCAAATCTCTCTCTTCTTTCTCTTATCTCTCTCACTCTCTCTCATACACACACGCACACATATACATATACATATACTCATTCTCTTTCTCTCTCTCTCTCACACTGTTTCTAAATGCAGCATGGTTTTGACCATTCAACGAATTCTCTACGTCCATTATAATTACCGAATATAAAAAATAACGATTCACGTGGTATTCATTGGTAAAGTTCGAATCAATCGGCGTTGACTTTCAATCTGGCGAATATCAAAGCGCCATCGGCGTACTAGGAGGTGGTGGTACCCCAGGGGTGGTTAGTGTACTACCTCTACTACCATTTCCCGATAACTACGATTACCGCTACCAACGAGTAACTATTTCATTCGGATCGTCCTTGCCCTTTTACACGAGGATCGAAAAAAGAAGAAAACAAAGAATTAAATTAGAAATAATTCTCGACGAAGATGGGTGGTGGAGGAGGATTTTTTTTAATTTTTATATAAGCCGCATTTGTTTTTATATTATTTCAATAAATTATATGTGTGTATTGTGTATTTATTATTATTATTATTATCTCATTTGCATTGTAAGGAAGAATTAAAAAATGATTACTTTTATCTCTCATACATCAAATTGTTTTTTTTTATTATTATATTTAAATAGACAAAATTTATACGAGTCGATAAAATTATAATATATTTATGTATTTTTGTACATATTTCAGTACTTTTTTTTTTAATATATAAATGGTCAATGATATGTAATGTAAAATGGAAACAAAAATGTATTTATTATTATGTAAGATTTTCTTGTGATAATAATCAAGAAAATTAAATGTATTTATATGCTAATGATGCAAATGGTTTAATAAGTGACTTATTAAAGTATCTAACTGCTTAAAAACAATAATCTGAGTGATTTATAAATAATCGAAATATGAAATATATTGATTAATCATACACTGTAAACTTTTTTAATATTTTTGAGTATATATGAATCATTCACAAGCTTAGATCGATTAATTCCACTTTTTGATTTATTTCAAATTTTATTATTAATTAACCTCTCTCTCATTAATACTTAACTTTTTATATATTCCAAATTAATTTCATTAATAATTATACTTAACACTATTAAAATGAAAACAATTTTTATGATCGTTCAATAATAAATGATACGACAATACATATCACTTTATTAATTTTCTCTACTTTTTATATCGTGGAATTAAATCGATTTGGCAAATTGGTTGCTCATATACACTTTCTGCCAAAAGATTAGAATTATTTTATATATTCCCCGAAAAAGAAAGGATATATTATATAAGAAAAAAATGAACACGTGGCCTTGAGTAATCGAGATAAATTTTGGTGTCAAAAAATCTTACTAGTAAAATATATTTTACATTTTATTATAATATTATGAATATTTTTCTTCAAATAATCCTGTCATCGAGAAAAAGAAAACTGCCCGTTATTTTTAATGACATTCTAACATTATCCGGACATGCTGGAAATTATATATTTTTTTTTCTTTTTAGAGTACTTTTTTAATTGAATATTTTTGAAGTTGCTATAAAGATGTCGTAATAATAAAATATAATTCCGATCGCAATGTATTAAAAATTTGGTTGACATAAGAAACATGCAATCTCTTAAAACATAACTGAACATGTGTTAATGTTTAATGTAATAACAATAAATCAATTGAAAATTGATCGGTATATATTACTACATCGGTTATAACGATTCTAAACTTTTGGTCGGTAGGGTTGATGAACAAAATCTATATTTATTTTATTTCTATATTGTATCTCGCGTTTCTATGATGTAATTAACATTATTTTCTTCTGATTACAGATATCAACTTTGTCGTCGGTACAGCATGAAGGCAGATAGTGACGTCAAGTGAAGGAAAGGGGGGCAAGAAGAAGAAGAAGAAGAAGAAATAAGAGTAATTAATACTACACAACAGCGCTTCGTGAAAAATAACGCATGCACCGGCGAATGAAAACTGGGAGAAAAGGCTGAACCTCTGGGGTGTAAATCAGAGAAGTAATAATAATAATTAAAAAAAAAAAAATAAAAAAAAAAAACAGATACAAATAAAGAAGAAGTAAAAACGCAACGGATTACCCTAAAAAAAAAAAAGAAAAAAAAAGTTAGTAGAATTAGTCGAAGAATATAAAGCGAAAGCAAGAAGGAAAGAGAGAAAGAGAGACACGAGATACATACTAACAAGCAAAGCAAGCAAGCACGCATAACACAACCAACACACATCTCTACACACGTATACAAGGAATAAATAAATAAATAAATAAATAAATAACAAATAATTAACACACAATTTTCGTGATAACGCGTGAAAAAGTGAGAGTGAGACAAGTGTGAACGAGAAAAGAAGAAAAAGAAATAGAGAAGGATAGATATAGATAATTGTGTATTTGTGTGGTACAAAAGTATAAGAGAGAAAGAGATAGTAGGAGGTAGCGTGTGTGAGAGTAAAAAAGAAAAAAAAAACAAACAAACAACCAACCAACCAACAACAAAAACTAGTGCGTGAAAGAAGGGTAGAAAGGGTTAAACAAGCGGAAAAGTTAAACAGACGAATACATTAAAAATACAGAAAACAAGTGAAGAATAAGAATAAGAATAAGAGAATAAGCCGAAGCCGAAAGAAAAGAAGTCGTGGGCGTGCGAGAGCGTGTAAATAAGAGCTATTTTTTCGTATGATAAAGAAAGAGGAAGAGAGGGTGGTGGTGATAGGGTTAGCAGTTAAAATAAACACGTGGAAAGAAAGAAGAAGAAGAAGAAGAAGCCAAAGAGGAATAGAATACGTTCGATGATCCTTCAACGAATTATCTGAGGAAGAGGAAGAGGAGGTGGAGGAACAAAAAAGGAAAAGAAGGAAGAAGAAAAAGAGGAGGAGGAGGAGGAGGAAGAGGAAAAGGAAAAGAAGAAGAAAAAGAAGTAAAAATAAGACGAAAAAGGGACAAATAATACGACGAGTCTTTTTCGAATATAATACAAATATCCTTTTCCTTTCGATGCACTTCTATTATTCGTTTTTATTTCTCTTACCGAGGATTCATTTTTTCTCATAGAGAGAAAAGGAAAGAAAAAATAAGATAGAAACTGATAAGGAAATATCAGAGTTGTTGATAGGGGAAGAATTTACTTTGACGAATTTTTTCTTTTTGCTGGTACCATAGAAGAGAAAAGAAAAAAAAGAAAAAGAAGAGGAGAAAGAGGAGGAGGAGGAAGTGGAATAGTAGTAGTTGTAGTAGTAGTAGTAGTAATAATAATAATAAGTTGACGTACGTACACGGTGGTGGGTAACAGTGCTCTGGTGGTGACTGTTGTGGGTGGTGATTGTGTCTGGTGAGATAAAGATAGAGTAAAGGGGTAAAAAAAAGGAGGAGGAAGAGGAGGAGGAGGAGGAGGAGGTGGTGGTGGGCGGGGGGAGGAGGGGGAAGGAGGACAGTCGAGCGGTATCGAGAGGGCAGCCGTGCCCCATGTTGTGAGCGTTTGAGGACTGCCGGGGGCAGAAGTGAAAGGGTGGGAAGGGTGGTGCCGCGGGCATGGAGTATGGAGGCGGTGGCGGGGGCGGTGTGGGACGTGGGGGTGTCCAACCACCCTCCGCAGGTGCGAGGAGCATCGCAGGCACCGACACTATCGACGCTCTCGACGCGTGGCACAAAAACGAACAAAGGATCCTCATGGAGTCCAGGCACAAGCAACAATGTGAGTAAATCTATTGTGCATATATATATATATATATATATCTAACCATCTACTTATTTAGATACAACGTCGATCATTATCTTATTTCTTATCTATATCCGTAGATCTATATGGGATTCGGTTAATAGCTAGTTTCTTCTTTCATAAATTATACCCAAACTCATAATTATACTTAAGGTGTACAAATTTAGTAACCATTATCAACTAATTGCTCGACTCATCTTGTTATATTATCGTGTAGTTTTCATTTTTTTTTATTTTTTTTTCTTATTTTTTTCTTATTACTCGTAAAAAGGGACCGCCCAAAGACCCAATCGAAAGTTCAGAGAGAAAGATAATATATAATATACTATACATATATATATATATATATATGTGTGTGTGTGTATATAAAACTATGCGGTGCATCTGCGGTATTGCAGGTGCATCGTTTCGCGGTAGTTTCTCTCTATCTTTTCTTTTACTCATTCTCTTTCTCTCTCGTTTTCTCTGTTCCACGCGAACGTAGGAGTCCGTTTATTAGCAGGTGTATGATATTGGATCGGACTAGAATCGTTTCTCGGTATCAAGCGAAAAAGATCGACGATCTACATTCTGCATCTTTCCTCTCTTTCTCTATTTTGTATCAACTCTTCCTCTTCCTTTTCTTTCTCTTCTTTTTTTTTTTTTTTTTTTCTAAAGTTTGAAATTAACCGAGCAATATTTGTGTATTATTATTCTGTCTCGAATCAGGCAAATAAATTGGCAACGTTAAAAACACGTTTTGAAAGACAAAAAAAGATCGGCGAAAATTCGTATCAGTTATTTTGTTATTCAAAAAGAACAGAATAAAAAACCTAATATCAAATTCGTAATGAACAATCTAAGAAACTAATTTACAAAAAAAGAAAAAAAGATCAAAATGAAATAATCTTGAAATTTTGGCAACGCTTTCGAGATTCGGGACCGACCACTGTATGTTGCCGAAGGGGTCGATACGTTACCGCTGCGTACCTTTAATGCGAAGAGAAAAAGCAACTGCTGCATTCGCGGTCCAATGACTCGGGAAATTGTTAATTATCGCGATAGTAAGGAAAGAGAGAGAGAGAGAGAGTGAGTGATGGGGGTTGGGTGGGGTAGACTTCTCTCTTTTGCACTCCAACTCTCGGAGTTCACGAAAGTTAAAAGGGGTGTAATATTTAAATCCGTTCGTTGTTACCAGCAAAGTTGTTGTTTTCGGTTTGTTAAGTGATTTCAATCTGTATTCTGATAGGTTGATTAAAATTGGACACAGTGTATGTGACCGTTAGCATCGTAATAGGGGGAAAAGAAAAAAAAGAAATTAAAAAAACAAAACCAGTGAAGAGGGTTTACCAAAGGGGGGGTTGGTTGGGGGTGCTACTGTCTTTCTGTTTCTCGCGGTTAGAGCAGAAAATCTTTCGGTGATCAGAGGTTGAATTGGTGTTTTGTACGTGTTACGGATGCATGTTTGAAAATAATGGTTTGGAACGATGGTAAGGTGAACTCGGTGGTGTTAAAGAATTAGCTTGTTTATTTTTTAGTAAATTATTCTAGGGGTGAAAGTGTCGATGCGGTGACGAAGGAAAAAAAAAGTAAAAAAGAAAAAAAAAGAAAGATCGAAAGTATACTTTGGACGGAGGCACTTTGATTTATTTATTCTTTTTTTTCTTTTCTTTTTCTTTTATTATTCATACGTATTATTTTCGATCATATTTTACTTCGAAAGTCCTATTATTTATTTGTCAACATTTGGGAAAGATTATAATATAACGTAGAATGATATTTAACACCGCAAAAGTTGTCGAGACACTTCGGGACACCTATTCCTACTGTGAGGGATAAATGAAATGATCGTTTTACAAAAAAAGAAACCAAAAAGAAAAAAAAACAAATATATCTTAACACATCGAACGAAGATATTTGTCGATTGGATAGCAAACAGATATATATTATATCTTTTGTTTTAATTTAAAAACGAAAAATACAACGTAGATTTTATAAGTTTGTATAAAACACTTTTGAAGATAGTATTTAGAAGAGTTGGTCGACCTTTTCTTATAATTTATTGTTAGGCTTGAATTGTCTTCTTGTAACGATCGACGAGAATAGCATGGTCACGTTCTGTTTCTCTCTTCGTATTTCTCTTTCTCTTGGTGAGAGAAAATCGACAAGTTGTGTTCGACATCAAGCAGCAGCAGTAGCAGCAGAAATCTGTTCCCTTGTCTTCTTCTTCTTCTTCTTCTTCTTTCTACCTTTCTTTCAACTCTTTCTTTCTATTTTTTGTTTGTTTGTTTGTTAGCCGAAAAAAGAACTCGAAGCGTCACTGACCTTCCTAAAGATCAAACGCATTAGAAAGCTTTCCCTTGTGTATTTGATCTCTTTCTCTTTTGGCTTGTTCATTTCAAAATAGAAATCGTCGTTGTAAGATAAATCAGAAAAACGAACAAAAAAAAGGGACAGAAAGAAGAAGAAGAAGAAGAAGAAGGAGAAATAAGTAGAAAGGGAAATACAAAGTGTGCAGCGGGAGAAGGGGGAGGCTGAGGGGGATGTTGGTTAGATGTCGATCGTTGTTATCGCAGCAGGGTTCGATAAAAAAGCAAGCATCATCGAGTATAGAATACTTAACTTATTTACTTGCATATATGTTGTGGGTGGTGATGATGGTGTGGTGTGGTGTGTCTGAGGGGGAGGGATTGCGTATGGCTGTGTGTGCCCGTGTCCGAGAATGTATTCTTTTCAACGTTGTTTAAATAATAATTTGGTATTCTATAGGATATCAAAGTATTATGTTCGATGCTTAGGAAAAACTCTGTAAAAAGTGTTATTTCCGACTTCGTCGGAAGGCGTTTTGCATTGTTAAGAATACCGAGGAATTACTAGCAATGACTGACTGATTCCTAGCTTCGACGGTAACATATATATATAGTAGTCAGCTTGTATATATAGTCAGTTAGGAATTAATCGTGCGGAATTCACAGGGCGAATTTCTCTTAGGCGCTTGGATCGAGCGATCTAAAAATACTCGATAATTGGACGATCGTCGTAAATACGAGAGAAGATCGAAGATGGCGTCTGGTGCAATCGGTAGAGAGAAAGAAATAGACAGAGAGAGAGAGAGATAGAGAGAGAAGGAAGGAAGAAGGAAGATTCTCTTCATCGAGTGAACGCATTCGACAAGCGGCGGGTGCACGTTCGTCGTTTTACCCTCTCACTCTGTTCCTCACTTTTCCTCCCTTCCCACCACCCCCTTTTACCGGCGTCGGCGTCGGCGTCGGCGTCGGCGTTGGCGTTTGCGTTGGCGTCGGTGTCGGCGTCGGTGTTGGCGTCGGCGTCGTCATCATCATCGTATCTTCGTCGGACTCGACGAAGAACGGGGGGGCCGGTTTTGGACCGATGCCTGATCGGCGACTCTCGGACAATTCGAAGATTCTGCTCGACCATTCACCCGACTGACGTGTATTTTCGACCTGGCACCTTCTTTCTGTTATCTTTCTCTTTCTCTTTCTATTTCTTTCTTTCTCTTGTCCTTTCAGTTCCTTCCTCGATTCCATAGAACCAATATCGACAGACGTTGACCTCGCGACGAGTTTCTAAGAGAGAGAGAGAGAGGGAGAGAGAGAGAGAGAAAGACAAAAAAATGATTGACTTTCCTTTTGACTAGAAGAGGGAACTCTTGAAATCCTCTTGGATGGAGTTGAGCGTACAGTTTGTAGTAGGGCTCTCGTCGCTTTGAGGGGATTATTAAACGAATGATTTTAAGAGTCAACTCAGAATTCGATTCACCTTCTAACGGGACGCTTTTGGCCCTTTTCGATTCTTGTCAAACTTTTAGCCGGATAGAGAAAAAGAAGAAGAAGAGGAAGAGGAGGAAGAAGAAGCTCTGGGTGGCAAAAGGGACAAAAAAAAAAAAGACGAAAGAAACTTTTAGGAGAAATATTAGAAATGATAGGGAACATTTTATTTACTTTTTTTTTTTTTTTTTTCGAACGATCGTGTCGTTCCGTTAATTTATGCAACTGTTAAAACGAGTACTGCGATTATCTCTCACTCTCTCTCTCTCTTTCTCTTATTTTTTATGTAATTTTTTTTTTATTTCCTGTTAATGATACATGATAATAATAATAACGGTAATGATAATGATAATGATAATGATAATAATAATAATAATAAAAAATAAGTATATCGCATTTACTTCATCGGCTTTGAAACTTTAGTCTCGCGCAGCCCGCCATTTATTGGCCCAGGAAAAATACGAACAAAATTGCCGGAGAAACAAGGATAATAATAGGGAATGATTATCGAATAAGCAATAACCGCGGCATAGTTCTTCTTACGAGAAAGAGAAAAATACACATTTTTATCGTAGTTTGAATCCTTTTCAACGATAATAAATTGATCATCTTCTTCTTCGTCGTCGTCATTGTCTTTGTCTTTGTCTTTGTTGTTTCTAAAAGAGGTCCCCTCTTCATCGTTAGATATTTCATATTATTATAATTATCAATAATATATATAGTTTCTATCGAAATAAAATAAAATAATTCGAATAAATTCGTAAAGATTTTCTTTAATCGACGAATAAATTCAATTATTTGTTCCAAAAGATTAATAGAAAAAAATGGGAGTGTAAAGTGTTTATTAATGCGCTAATCGCGCGAAATACGCGTTGGAAGGAAGGTGTTTATTGACATGCAAATAGGGCCACGATGCATCTCTCACGTGGTGGAAGCCGTACTCTCTCTCTCTTTCTATCTATGTATTTGTGTATGTGTATATATATGTATGTCGTTTCTCTCTTGGACGAAACAGGCGTTGAAACTCTCCTCTCCTCTCCTCTCTTCTCCTCTCTCTTGTTCTCCTATCTCTTTATCCGTCTTCTTCGCTATCCACGAACCCTCTCCGATTTCCGACACTGACCTCTCCAATTTTCAAATTACGTCGCTCCCGTTGCAAGCTCACTGACACGACGAGGGATCCACACACTCTCTCTCTCTCTCTTTCTC